GAGTCTATGAGTCTATGAGTCTAAGTGCTGTGCCGAGTCTTCATTTATTCACTCTAATGTAAGGTTTCGCGTGCCAGTAATACATTTTAATGTTTTTAGAAGGTCTCTTTCTATAAGTCTATAATATATAACTAAATTATTGTTGTATGTAAAGTAAATAAGTTTTTTAAAATGTTTAAGAACCTTCATTTAAAATTAAATTAAAATGCAGAGCCCTCTGGCCCGGTGGCCAGGACCCGGACAGTGTGAGTGCCACTGAAAATCAGCTCGCGTGCCGCCTTCGGCACGCGTGCCATAGGTTGCCTACCCCTGCTGTAGAGGCTCATGCACTAAGCTCCAAAGGTTCCTGGTTCGATCCTGCTGGGTCGTTGGTGTTACATAAAGTTAAAAAACTGAAATCTTCCACTACTACTAGATAAGCATGTATCCTTAAGGTAAAAAATCTCAATCTGACAGCATGTTTTCAATACTACTTTTAAATCCATTATCTAGATACTATACTTCAGTGCATGTGCTCTGTAAGAATGATGGTATCAACAGATACATTGTACAGTAGGTTTTCTGACAACATTTTTGGATTCTGCTTTTGCCATAGCCTTTATAGTTATCATTATTTTAAAATTTGATGTAAAACTGATGAACTGCAAAGAGATACTATCTGTATTTTTTTTATAACAGGTACCAAGTGCTGGCATTTGCAACAGATGCTGATGAAAGACAGGAGACAGAGCAGCAAAAAATGAGTTCTGGAAAAAGGCTTGTTGTAAGACCTGTTTATTTTACATAAACTATACCCTGCAGTGCATAAATATTAAAAAGAGAGAAGACTAACTGACAGATTGAAACACTGTGTTGTCACTAAGGGCCAGATCTAACTTCCATTTAAGACAATGGAAAGACTCGAGTAAATTTTATTGTGATTTGGATTGGGACCTAAATATTCATTAAGCTCTCTGTTTTAAGAAAGGAGAAATTAACATAACAGAAAGGGTTAATTCCATGTTAATTTAATTTTCAAGATGGAATGTGTTGAAATATATGTACATTTAAAAATTTAAGCAAAATTTCAGTTTAAAGTCTTTTTATGATTAGTGTGTTAGATTTCTAAAATGCACCCTGTTAAAGTTTGGGCCTTATGTATGATGTTAAACAGAACACTATATAGGAAAAAGACATTTCCCCAAATAGCCAGCTCACCCATTCTGACCCCCTCCTCCTTTGCCCATCCCTCCCACCCTTGCAGTGAAAAACCTGGGAAATTAACGTCTTTTACATTGTGCCTTAAGGTTGACATACTCAGGCCATTTTGAACTAGTGGGGAAAAGGAATTCCCGCCTCGGTGGTACTGCACTGACAACTGCTTGATCATTTAAGATACTCCAGAAAATGCTAGGTTTCAGAGTAGCAGCCGTGTTAGTCTATATCTGCAAAAAGAACAGGAGTACTTGTGGCACCTTAGAGACTAACAAATGTATTTTGAGCATAAGCTTTCGTGGGCTACAGCCCTCTTCTTCGGATGCATAGAATGGAACATATATTGAGGATATATATACACATATAGAGAGCATAAGTAAAAGAAAAAAACTTTTGAAGTGATAATCAAGATAGCTCAGTACAGACAGTTTGATAAGAAGTGTGAGAATACTTACATGGGGAGATAGATTCAATGTTTGTAATGGCTCAGCCATTCCCAGTCTCTATTCAAGCCTAAGTTGATTGTATCTAGTTTGCATATCAATTCAAGCTCAGCAGTTTCTCGTTAGTCTGTTTTTGAAGGTTTTCTGTTGCAAAATTGCCACCCGCAGCTCTGTCATTGAGTGACCAGACAGGTTAAAGTGTTCTCCTACTGGTTTTTGAATGTTATGATTCCTGATGTCAGATTTGTGTCCATTAATTCTTTTGCGTAGAGACTGTCCGGTTTGGCCAATGTACATGGCAGAGGGGCATTGCTGGCACATGATGGCATATATCACATTGGTAGATGTGCAGGTGAACGAGCCCCTGATGGCATGGCTGATGTGATTAGGTCCTATGATGATGTCACTTGAATAGATATATTGACAAAGTCGGCATTGGGCTTTGTTGCAAGGATAGGTTCCTGGGTCAGTGTTTTTGTTCAGTGGTGTATGGTTGCTGGTGAGTATTTACTTCAGGTTGCGGGGTTGTCTGTAAGCGAGGACTGGTCTGTCTCCCAACATCTGTGAGACTGAGGGATCATCTTTCAGGATAGGTTGTAGATCTCTGATGATGGGCTGGAGAGGTTTTAGTTGGGGGCTGAAGGTGACAGCTAGTGGTGTTCTGTTATTTTCTTTGTTGGGCCTGTCTTGTAGGAGGTGACTTCTGGGTACTCATCTGGCTCTGTCAATCTGTTTTTTCACTTCAGCAGGTGGGTATTGTAGTTTTAAGAATGCTTGATAGAGATCTTGTAGGTGCTTGTCTCTGTCTGAGGGATTGGAGCAAATGTGGTTGTATCTTAGAGCTTGGCCACTCAGTAACAGACTTAAAGGTGGCAATGTTGCAACAGAAAAGCTTCAAAAACAGACTCCAACAAGAAACTGCTGAGCTTGAATTGATATGCAAACTAGATACAATCAACTTAGGCTTGAACAGAGACTGGGAATGGCTGAGCCATTACAAACATTGAATCTATCTCCCTATGTAAGTATTCTCAC